ATCTAAAAGATTAAAATCTTTCCCAAAGGTGTTCGTTGTCCATCGCTCTAATATAAAAAAATTAAAATTATAACTTTCTTCAAGTATTTGCAGTTTAAATGAAAATATGATTAAAATAAAAAGTCCGACTTCATGAAACTTTTTATATTTCTATGGCTTCTTGTATAAGGAGCAGGGAGGTGGCGGCCCCATCTCCCGGTCATTGTACCGCAGTCAGCTACTGGTCCTACAGGTTGGGGGTACACCTACAAAAGCACACACACACCCAGTGCACTCTATACAGCACAATACAACACGTCTCACTGCAGACAAGGGTCACATACAGTCACCTTCAGTAGTTAAACGGCTCAGACGGAGGAGTGTGTCAGGGTTCTCTGAGGAGGCAGCCCCTCCATCTGACTTTAAACTTATCATTATACAGACCGGAAGTGCTTCAAGTCTTCCTTACAGAACTTGGCAATTGGATAGAACAGCTATCCAGGAGAGATCCGTTGGACCGGTAAAGGGTTTATAGAGAAAATATTTCATAATATATACTATAGCTGCCCGGTTAGATATTACACCTTCAGAGTTGAATTTATTGTCAGAAGGTGAATGAGAAGGCTCATCGCATTCACTCCTATCAATGAATGTTTATGAGTTCTTCGAATCCAAGGAACAACTTTACTCTCATAAGTTTCCACGCACCTACAGGCACCAGATGAGGATGAAAAGGACCAATTCTATGATGGACTGGAAAGAGCATTTGATGAATGTCCAAGAAGTAAAATTAATATGTTGCTGGGAGACTTCAATACCAGGATAGGAAGAGAGGAAGCTTATAGGCTTACGGTGTGATTCAGAGTTTGCGTAAAGACAGCAATGACAACAGGAAAAAATATTGAATTTTCATGTATTAAGAATATGAATGTTGGAAACACTCTTTTTCCCGGGTGTCGAATACACAAGGCCACGTAGAGATCCCTAGGTGGTCTTACTTTTAATCAGATCGATCACACCCAGATACGTGCCCGTCATAGATCTAATCTTCTTAGCACCAGAATTTTAGAGGAGCTAATGTAGATTCTGGATCCGAGCTAAGATTTTTAATACTTGGAATCGAAGAAATGTTCCTTCTAAGAAATGGAACGTTGGTAAGTTTAAGGATCTTGACATTTGCAAATCACACTAAGACAGGACAGATGCGAAAGTAAGAAGAGCTTTTGGATCAGCTAATACTGAAATGGTTCAGGAGATTTGGGACGGCCTACAGAAGTTCCTGGGAAATTCTGATGACTGATCCATGGATAAATTAGGGTCAAGAAATTCTAGTGGTTGGTTTGACGAGGAATGACCATGGGAAGGACATCGACCCCCGGTGCCCTTTCTGCGGAGTCCCCGAGACGGCAGAACACATCCTGGTATCCTGCACCGCAATGGAGGGACGCCGTGCCAAACTCTTGAAGGAAACGGGGCTGTATAGCCTAAGAGAACAGAATTTTCCCCGCCTAGTGGAGGAAGAAAATTACCCGCTCTTTAGGGAGTTTGTGTACGGGTGGAGAGACACAATCGGCCCTGCACATTTCTCCCTGGGAGCGGCAAGGAGAGCACCAGAGGAGAACGAAGAAGACTAAGGACCGGACGGATGCGGTGCGGACAAGGTGCGTTCCCATCATAAAAGTGCACAACTGTGTACTGGGCCGCACCACCGTATACCCAATTTAATTGTAATGTCAAATAAATAAAAAAGAAGTTCCCAAAAGAATTTTGTAATGATTTGTAAAGATAAATAAAATGTTGATTATTGGCAGCAGTGGTTATACGAGAACTCAAACGTATTGACCCACTGCTGCCAAAAGTCCGTATGGCAACAATGCCAGGCAGGGCGAAAAAAGGTTTGACGAGGAATGTAAGATACGCTAAAAATTAAGTGTACCGGAATATGGTCAGCAAGCACATCACAGAGAAGTATAGTCAAAGAAGACGATTGAAGAAGAACCCTGAAGAAAAGAACTTGGGAGGAGAGGGATTAGGAAGAATCGCCAGCTGTACCAAATCTACAAGGAGGCTGACGTGGTCAGAACCATTAAGGTTAGAAAACTAAGTTGACTGGTCACGTGGCTAGGGTTGGTGAAGTATAAAGAACTTCTTCATTTTATCTGAAGAGATGGAAGGCGGGCTGACGGCGTGGCAGCGAAAGTCAAAAACCTCTATGGGATCATCAGCTGGAAGACGGCAGCACAAGACAGAGCCGAATGACAGAGGAGACCAAGACCCACTCTGGGTAATAGCGCCACAGAGACAGATAGATATGTGGCTTCTTATAAGAGTGACGACAAGAAAACAATAAATAAAATAATGAAACTTTATATTATAATAACGCGGTTTGCTGAACAATTATAGTCATTCCCTTTACACTCCTGCTCATAATTTCACTCCCTTCTCACCTGGAACTACAAGGACCGACCTCGGGCCCTCGACGAAGACATCTACCGGGCGGGAATGGCAGCCGATGATGAGGCACTTCTCCCAGGTGTCCTCAGCCCAAAGTTCCTTCCTCCGTGGCCTGTTGGCTGTCATCCAGTTAACGAACCTCGCCTGCTTCACACCCATCGCCCACTGTATAGGTTGATGGCTAAGGGCATTCCAGTATTCAACAGTTATTTACTAAAAACTTTAAATATTTTTTCGATTTTTAAAGTTCAGAAATACTCACTTAATTAGGAGGGTATTGTTAAGTAGCTGTTGGTCGAAAAACATATAGACCGCCTGACTTCGGGAAACCAGTTTTGCCCACTCCCTGTCAAACAAGACAGATTCCCTCTTCGGGAAGAGGCAATAGAGGAGCAAAGACAACTTCTCCTTTTCCATTCTGTGCCTGATGTAATCCGACTTGTCTTCTAGATAGGATCTTCCTAGGAGAATCTCCACCACCGTTTCTCGAGAACTCCGGAGGTACTCCATGTCTTCATAAGTCTCGCGGCACATGTCTCGCAGTAGGTATACCACGTCCATAGTTCTAGAACAGAAATATTTATTTTTGTAATAATACTAAGTGTTATTATTCTGTTGAAAAGTAATAAATAAATTCACATAAACCTTACATCCTTTGGTTTATGAGCAAGTGGGATAGGATTGAATATATATGGATTGAATGGATATGGCCACAAATGTACAAGGATAGAGTTTAAGGACATCACCAAAATGGGAATAATAATAAAAAAATAACCGAATAATTATAGAAACGTTACATATCTTGCTGGTTGCTATGTCTTTGTGACATTCTATCATAGCAATAAAGACATTCGATCAAGGGGTATTCGTTTAGGGTAATGAATAGGTGGCAGATTACTATCGAAAATGATTTCACAATTAAAGATTTCTTGAATAAATATATAGACAAATTTACTTGTGTATGGTAGCTAAGGTGTCAGAAATTTCTTTTTTCGAAGACTCCAGTGGTTTCTTGGGCATTTTCTTTAGAGATTCTGCCTTTTCCATTAACTCAAGACATTTCTTTATGAGGTATCTGAAAATTAATTGCGTGATTAAAATTTTTATGTTTGTTATGTTTTACAATAATAATTAATTGGATATGGCTGATATAATTAAGCTGTTAAGTCAATAAGTAGTCGTAAGAATTAAGCATTAATATTTATTAATTAAGGGCCTTGTTGATACATGAAGCAGACAATCCCAATTTTTTCAAACAGATTTTGTCTGGGATTATTACGTCTTCGATTGTTCAAAGGAACACATCTTACTTCTCTTTTGTAAACAAATGGATAAAAAAATAACCTGTAGCACTTAAAATCATGGAGGGTCTTGAATTCAATAATTTTTAAGAAATTACTGTTTCTTGATTCAACGATTATCGTGCTAGGAGGTGATTTGACTGGGACCATCCCTTAATTAATTAAAAGTACCTACTTTCTAGACTGTGTTCTCCAGGATGGTCTCTCGACTCCAGAGTTAAATAGAAAAGTTTATCTAGCACCAGATATATTTGATCAGATATACATAAATATTTGAGGTAGGCACACTTTAAAGGGGTTTAGAATGATTGAGAGGGGTACATTTTTAAGGGGTTTAAATTTTTTTGGAGAAAACCATGTTTTGTCGAGTTTTAAATTGAAGGAATTTCCAGACCAGAGAAGAGGGAGAAAACGGGTAATAGACATTAAGATTAATTGTTTGTGATTTAAAACTTTTCTAATTATACTTTCGCTGGCATTGTTTTTAAGAAGGGAAGAGGAATACAATCTCTTGCGTGAGAGGAAAGGTTGCACCATCGACCATGGGGGGTACCCCTGCCCGACGCCAGGGTCGATCCATAGCTGATGTAACTGAATAAAGAATTACCTGCCACAACTGAACTTGAACCCGGAACCGATACTTATGTTACTTTTTACACAAACGTTAACGGATAAAAATATTTTTAAGGCCAAAACAAGGTTAATCTTGGTTTGCAGATTTATTCAAAGCCTAATGGTGAAATTACTTGGTGTCATACATAATATTACGTCGCTCTCTCCGAAAATTATATATCTACCATCTTCTTGCATCGAAGTCAACAATTAGTCTCTCCGAATTTAATTCAAATAAACTGTAATTGCTTCAATATTGCTCCACATATAAATCCCACATACCTCGTTATTTAAGAAATTATAATTCCCCATTTAAAAATGTTGGCTAATAAATCAATGTTATCAGCAAGAGTCCCAAGGTATTGGTCATGTTTCCTCAAGGTCCAACATGTCTTTCATTACATAAGCGCTTGTTTAAAAATAATTTTATATATATTTTAGTAAAAGTATTCTTAAAATGCAAACATGTCACAAAAGTGTTTAAATTTAAGGAAATATGTTAATTGTAAAGTTACCCTACTAACCAACAATGGCTTATTTTACCTGACTTTTCTTTTTTCTGCGGTTGTTGGCTGAGCTATAAAGATGGTTTTCCTCGATGTCATGTCGATAACATCGTCTCTTACTCTCTTCAGAATTACTTGCATTTGCTGCCTAGCCAAGCTCGCTATCTATAATGCATATCTGTTTAGGACTCGCCATTAGCTTTTAAAAAGTCAAAGGGAAGAAAAATAAAATCAATTTATAGTTTATGTGCCTAGTTACCTCTCTGACGTAGAGCCGTAAGGTGTCTGTGTCTAGTATATCCATGATCCTCACTTCCTTCCTGATACTCTCCTTCTGCTGCTTCTTGTACAGCAACTCCCTCAGCGCCACTTTGGAATTCTCCTCCGTCAACATCCTGATGTCAACGTCCTGAAACATGATTGCAGATGACTTCGGGGACACACAAGAGGCACACATCGGCGTATTCACGCCCACTTACTTTCAGGAAGTTTAGAGTCCTCGCCTTGAGACAGTTGACCAGAGACCTGACTTCCTTGTCGACGACGCTTAGTGGAGGAGGTCGCTTCTTGTTTTGCAGCATTCTTGACTTGGGGCTCGGTTCCTACTGGCACGTTACGCATTACTAGAACCTGCACGGGTTGCATGTAGCATTTGTAAGAGTATTGTAACGATCGGCCAAAACCGATAGTCTTAATCATTTTGGCTAGGTCTTATTATTTTTATTCTTTTCGATCATAAGGTAGAAAACTGTTTCTAGTACAATATAATCGTTCTTTAAATATTTTAGATGTAGTTGTAGTGAATGTAATGAGAATGTTAAAGCATTGGAATAATTAATAAGAAAGTTTTTTTAACGAATAAAGGACTATTAAGGTAATCCTAACAGTTCCTTCAGATGTCACTCTTGTATTCCATTCAGGAGACAGGAGGGCAACATTAAGAACGATTGTTTGTAAACAAATCGTTCCCAACTAATATCTAACTCAGTCCAGTCTACTCCTGTTGTAAAAAAAAATTAATATCGAAGATAGAAAAACCAATGAAATAACAAACTTGGCGATTTAAAAAGAATTGGTTAACAATCCGATTTATTTGACTTTCCCTGAATCTAAATAACCAAGTCTCGCAAAATGGTGTGTGTGTGTGTGTGGATGCGATCAGTCTAGTTAAAAAACCAAAAGCCGTACGAAACTGATATTACGTGTTTAAGATAGCTATATGCCTTGGATGTGACAGCAAGTTTTTCGTTAAAATCGACTAACCGGAAGTGGCACTTTATATCAACGGTTATACACAGTTTTACAATTTTTTTTCAAAAACGGCTCCAACGATTTTGATTAATCTCGGTGTATCATTGTAAAATTAGGTGGTCTTTAATATCATTGAGATCTGAACCCATTAACGTACCACCATATTACCATTAATGTTACTTTATAGGGCTTAAATGCCCAATGATTAACATGTCTTCCTCTAAATTACCTTTAATAAGGTTTATTTTAAATGATCAACTATCTCGCATCATTAAGAGTTACGAAAAAAATGCTAATCATAACTTTTGAAAGAATTTGATCACTGAAAAATGAAATCGAAAATCAATTTCCGGAAATACTTGTCAGAAGGTATACGTATAATGTATCGTTGGAAAGCGAAGAATTTTAGAGACTAACAATATCTAATATAGAAAGTCGTAAAAATTATTGGAGAACGACAAAACATTATAAAGAATAATTTGTAATAATCAATATTATTTAACGGAAATCACACGTTTTCAAGAAAATTACCTGAAATTTACTAACTTAATGTAAACTCTTTTTATGTTTGGAAAAAAAGTATTTAAAATTCACCTAATCAAGGCTGTGGAATTGCTTAAAAGAACTATTTCATAGTATTTATGTGAAAGAATAAGTGAAATAAAAAAATATTTTATGGCTGTAAAAAACATATGTTTATAACCATATTAAATATATTTACTGTAATTCGTGATCTGGTATTATATTTAAATAATTAGGATCAACGTCCGTTTATTCCGAAAAATCGTCATGTAACCTTTTATAAAATTAAATTAATGAATAATTTTCTCTTTGTGAACTCCAAACATTATCCACTTAAAATTAGTGTGACATCTTTTTACCTAACCATGGCAGGCAATGAAAATCTCATAATTTCATTTTAGTAAACTTTACCAATGAAAATAACAGTTTAATAATTAATAGGCGTACAATCCATAATCATTTATAGGTTGAATATAGAGATATACTTTCAAATCTCTCTAGGCATATATATATATATTTAGCTCATAGACTGGAGTTATGTGGTTTACGAAAACAGGTGGAGGGAGTACCGAGGTTTTTATTGTCTACTACTGATATAATTAATAGGGATTTTTTTTATTTTAGTGTTAGTTATAAGTAAGCTTTAAGCTATAGCTTGGATTGCTACTTATGATTAGGATATATCTTTAAGCTATAGCTTCAAACATTTCATAATTGCTCAACATTGTCAGAAAATAATTTATATTCAAAGTAGAGAGGTAAGTGAAAGTTGTGTGTTGCGCGCACCAGATTTTTTAGTTAAATTGAGATATCTTTATTTAGAAATATTTGATTTAATTTAAGTACATAAATTTCAAACAAATTAATGTTTATTCTAGGTTTTATGGGTATAAAAATATGAATATACCTTATGCATAGTGACAGACTCTCGATGGTAGTGTTAATTTTTGTTTTATAAAACTTTATTTATGATCCTTGTTTTGAAATATTAGAATATATCATAAAGTATTTGAACCTGATTAATTTCTTAATAAAGGATAATTTATGACTCGTTGTTTCTATTCATTTTGGTTTGGGAATTGTAAGTGAACTTTACGGTTTTTTTATTTTATGTTTTTTTTACGCTTGCAGTCAGATCCGTGCACTTTTAAAAACGTTTCAATTGGTCTTCAAAAATATGTTTATAAATTACATTATTACATTGCAATACTGACCATTAATAAGGCCCCATTTTAAGCCATATATATTTTTTTACTTACATTTTTTTTCCATAAAACACCCAAATCTTAATGATTGCTAAATAAATATTATGCAATATTAAATATAGAAAATATCTTTTGTTCAATTATTTGTTAAGTGATATGTACGTGTTGTGTGTTATAGCTTTGACCTATACGACATATACGTTCATGCCTTATCATTCACTGTTGGTGTTATCTCTAGAGTGATTGAGAAATTAAAAAACGAGTGTTTCAGTATTGCTGCATAGACGCGTTATTAATTGTTTCGAGATCATTGTAAATAATAGAAACCACCTATGTAAATATTATCGTAAAAATTGACCACTCTTGAGATTATATATACTCATCCTTTTTTTTTTTTTTAAATACAAATGATTGGTAAAAACAAACCTTCTTCTTGTAGAAGGATTTCCTGAAGTTATCCTGCCCTTTCTTGGCACTCCTTTCTTGGTATGCTGGGTTGGAACGGGAAGGCCTGCTTGTTTTGGCTCCATATCTTTTCTCACATTTCTCAGAAATTTTAACGGCTGCAATAAATTCGAGAAAATGGTCTGATTTAATGATATGGTTGTAAAATAGCACATTATTATATTTATAGTTTATAGTTAATTAATTAGTGCCACATATTAAAGGCACCATATAAGATTCGATTTTATGTTAATTTAAATTGAATATTTAATAGTTGATCGTTGCATAATGGAAGGAGATGGTCCGGGGTGGCTGTCATAAATAGGCTAAATAGTGGTAAAACTATTTTATTAAAAGCCAACGTTCCGACCCGACTTTGCAGGTCTTTTTCAGAACTAGATACATAAAATATAGAGAATTGTGGAAGTTACATAATATTTAGACAAAAAAATTATAAATAATGTGAATAAGCTTATTATAAACAGTAAGTATATTAAAATATAAACAGAGTAAGCTAAGTAACAAGATACTAAACTGAAGTAAATAAATGGTAACAATTGTTATAGTGTAATATATAATATATGCAAATGTGAGTATACTTCTACAGATCTATGGGAGAGATTGAAAAAGAAGGAAAAAGGATATAACATGAAATAATAGACGTATAGGAATGTGGAGAAAGAAAATGAAACCAAACATAAATAAATAAGTATACAAAATTAGAAGAATAATAATATAGACTTGCAGGTGTGTTCAGCTAGGAGTTTCACTTAGAACTGGAAAATAAGGGTAAGGGCAGGTAATGGGGAATTTTGCTGACCTGAATTTGCTGAATTTGAAGATATGGATGGATAAAAGGAAAAAAAATACTATATCTATGAAATAATAAATTATAAATATATACATATATACATATACATATGAAATAGAATTAAGAAATTATAGATAAGAGTACAATGTGAATAAAAAAAAAAATTGAAGAAGTAACATAGAAGTAAAATATAAAATGTATATAGAACAATATAACATGTTCCTTTCTTTCTTAATTCTATTGCATATGTATATGTATATATTTATAATTTATTATTTTATAGATATAGTATTTTGTTCTCTTGTATCCACCCATATCTTCAAATTCGGGTCAGCAAAATTACCCAATAGCTACCCTTATCCAATAGTTTTGCCATTATTTAGTCTATTTATGACCGCCACCCCGGACCATCTCCTTCCTTTGTTAATTTATATTCTGTTAATCTATTACCGAAATGACTTATTCTTTTGAAGAAATTGATGATATGAGACTGCCCCCGATAGATATTGAGACTGCTTGCATGAGATAATATCTGGGATAAGGTTGTGCTAACATGTAACTCACATTGGGCGGGACTCCTTGCCTCCTGCCCAGGTCCTCGGCGGGGCAGGCGGACGCAGGACGGCGCAGGAGCAGGCTCCTTGCGACCACGCCGCTTCCCCTCTGCGGGATGGACAGTCTTTTTCGGCTTCGGCTCTTCTTCCTTTACCAAAAGCTGTCTAGGTGTCTCGGGATCTGTGGGTCCAGCTTCTTCATGCATTTCCTCCTTAGGGACAGTCTGTGGATGCAACGTCAAAGAATGGGGCTGTTCTTGGACCCGGTTGGATGGTTTCTGATGAGTAACAGCACCCATCGGAGGAAACGTGGTGTTCTCACTCTTCTGTACTTCTTCTAATTTGGATTCTTGGTTGCTGAGTTCCGAGTCTTTTAGTAACTGGGGGATGTTGTCTGGTTCTTCAGGGCACGGGTAGCTTTCCTCTGGCTCTTCTTGTAGTGGCTGCTCCTCGATTTCGCCCCCTTGTTCTTCATATTGTTCTATTGCCTGCCGTTCTAAGTCCTGAAAAAACAACACTTGATAAAATTTCGTTTTCTGAAAGGATCATAAAATAATCCTTACAAGAAGAACATGCATATATTTTTTTCTTGTGAAGCCAAGTCGAGTACTAGAAATTGAAATAGATCGGTAGTGCATAGCGACACAGATTTTTGATCGGATGGCGGCAGAAATTTATTAGAAGTTAGGCATTGAGAGTCAAGCTGCTGAGGAAAACAGGGCTATGTTTTGATAGAGAGCGATTTCCCTCAGCTAAGGAGCAGGAGTGCCCAAAGGCAGTTTCATGGGGCAAGTTGCGTCATCATAATTTTTGAGAGGGGCATATTTTGATGAGTTTTTGAATTTTTGAGGGGACAAATTTTGACGAAATTTGAATTTTCAGATTGAAAAGTTTCAAATAACGAGACTAAGAGAATGCAGGGAACAAATTTCAGTAAGTGTAATTGTATATGATTTTTGGTATTTTTATTTTTAATGTTTTTAAAAATAGGATAGCAATAAAATATCTTGGGGAGGGGAGGGAGGAGGTTCATGCGCCATCGACCTTGGGGAGGGGATGGGCACCCCTCCTAAGGATTGTGGAAAAATTTCAAGGATTTCCTGTGAGGGTGGAATATAATTATTGGTCCAACTCACTTCTTCTTGGAAGGCCGCCGGATAAAGGAGGGCAAATGAAGCTGGTGGCCAAAACTAACGAAATATGAACAAGCTTTATGCATTTTTAAAGAAAATTCGAGAAAAGTAATTCTTGTTTTTTTTTTTAGCAGCAGTGTATTGTTACGCCAGCATGCATAACATCCCATTGCTGCTAACACGTACACATCAGCCACGGTAGGTTTGTAAATAAATTAAGACAATAATTCAATTATTTACACCTTGATCTGTTAATAAAGGTTGTTCCATTCATCTGTTCCGCCCACTTTTCCACACCTCAGCCTTTAGAATTGAGTGACCTAGACTTTGTTGATAACTTGTTTGTTTTTTTAAAGCATACTATTCACGTGATTACCTTTGGACCAACCATATTTAATAAAATTTAAGTGCTAAAAGTTGTACAATAGGTTATTAAAAGTCCCTTACTCCTCTAAGTGCAAAATACATTTTCAGGAAAGTCTAATAACACCACCAAAAGTCTTTATAATACAAATGAATAACAAACCACTCAACGTTTTATAAATCACACAAATATATAAAATAAAACAGAACATATCACATTAACAACCTAAAATGATCAGTGATCTCACCTCGTGTATTTATGTCTTTTTTGTCAGGATGGTGCATAAATTGGCGGAATGTTGACTGGTTAATTAATTGCTAGCGGGTATTTATTTGAGGAGGTTTGTTTTGGAATCTTCCAATAATGTCCTGACTAATAAGTGATAACTTAAAGTTTATTTTGCGTATAATGTATGAAATGCTTACGAGGAACTTTTCTTCAACTTCCGTTGATAATTCTACTTCTGGTTCTTCGTCGATGTCGTTTTGCGAGTTCAGGTACTGTTCCAAAGCTTCCCTTTCAAGCTCCTCGAATTTAACGTCCATGTTCGTTTCACTTTCTTCTTCCTGTTAATGTTAGAGATAGCTAAGAAAAAGAATTTAAGCAGAGTGTTTGTCGAAGGTCGTAATGGTAAAAATATAATAAAAAAATAATATAATGACATAGGAATGTTTGCTAGACAATCTATCTTATGATTAGGTTATTACATGCTTACCGTTACTTTATAAATTTGATATATATATATATATATATATATATATATATATATATATATTTATTCATTTATTGAAGTTCATAACGGTGTAAATATAAACAAGTAAACCTCCTATAAGAATTTAAGAAATGATAGGAATTTGTAAAGAAACTACCCATTGGAAACACTTCAATGGTTATATAAACCTAGGAAGTCCCTTGGTCATCTTCTTTTGAGACTCGAAGTTTTATCAGGAATTGTTTAGGATGAAAGAAAACAAACTAGGTATGTGAAAAACTAAATACTCTTTTATTCTTATGTGCGCGACGTTTCGGGATCAACTTTAATATCCATCTTCAGATAGATTAGAAACACTAAGCACGTGTTAGGCTTTCCCTAGAGCAGAATCCACTATTTATTTAAGGGATAATTTAAGATAACAAATTATTTGACAAGTCTTTTAATTAATTAGATGGTGGAAAGATGATGAACGGTCTGAAGAAGGAATATTAAAGTGGATCCCAAAATGTCGCGCACATAATAATAATAGAAAATTTTGGGAAAGTAACTTTAGTTTTTTATATACATAAAAAACATCTCCCTTAGGACTTATGAACAAAGTTATAAACTAGAAATTTATCCAACAAGTTTTAGATAAAGAGATATACGAAGAATTCGATGATTTATGAAGCCCAAAGCTCAATTCGATTTGTCCAATCGGGGTTGTTATGATGATATTGTACATGCGATCGTAGTGGAATAGCGTGTTCGAGTGTTGCTGGTTTAACAAGTCTCGGTTTGAATCCGACCTGTGAGGGGTAGATATTTATTTTGTGGCGGGCTCACGAAATGAAACTCGACTCTACTACTCCAGTTAGAATAGGTATGGCATTACCTATAAAACAATACCCGTATGCCAGAAATGGTAAGTATGAGTTCATTTAAAGATTAATATTTTAAACTTATTTCCTTTTTTTTTATTGAAGAACCTATCCTACCAAACCCTTAATTCAGTTTCCAGGTTATGAATCTGTAATGTGATTTTCAAATTATTGTAATATAAAATTTTATTGCTCCTTCAAAAACTACTTTAAGTAATTGATTCATAAATGAGCATAGCCTCAGACTTCACAGATATAGAAAGTGCTCAAGATTCAAGTCGCTGCACGACCACTTGGCAGCCATAACACGACTCAGGCATAGTGGCATTTAAAACAGCAAAAGCACCATAAAGGAGGAGGATACGTGGAGAAGATGGCGATCTTATCTCTCCCTTCCAAGGATAGAGGCGGCGTGTACCCACTTTATCACAGGGATAAACTGGCGCCTTCAAAGGATCAGTCATTTGCATGCATCTTCAGCGGAGGATAAGGTCATCGAGATTGCAGCCCTGCCTCTGTCGGCCGAGCTATTAGCCGGGTTTACTTACGGTCATCAGAGGATGTAGTGCTATGTCCCTCGGCGTCAAAAATCCGCCAGGACCAGCTTGCTCTCCTAGAAGAAGAATATATTTAAACTGTGTCTAGTAAGTTAAGCTTACTATTGTTGAGGTAGTCGAATACTGAATACATAAGAATTCCCCGAATATCGAATCCCTATAGATATTTTATAGGAGTTCAAAATTTATTCCACTTATTCCTCACGAACAGAACCATTATCGAATATCTTCGATGGGTAAGAAAATAAGTTTGAATCGTCATACAAAATTGAATTGACAAGAAATTGTTTCCAAATTTCTATATTATGAAGTGAATTTTATCTACATTACGATTATCAAGATATTTGGACTTTGGGATTCCACGGTACAATCAAATTCCTGCCGCTCCTTATTTTCAAAAACATTTCTTTATTCCTCAGTACTTCAATACTGCCCATTACGTCACAAATAAAATCATTTATTACCACACGCTGCTGCTTTGGTCCTAAATGCCTAACATTGTATTAAAGTCGCCATACCTGCTCTTACACTCTGGAGATTCGTAATTTTTATAACTATTTCCGATCATCTCTTGTTTAAGAAAGTTACTTTTAGTCCTTGTATCATATAGTTGCTTTTAGGAATCAAGGGTGGTAATAATATTCGATAAGACGGAATTCAATCTTTATAGGGATGAAACATTTGAATCGGAGAGGGTCTCTGGTTGAATTAGCTTATTGAGGAGCAGTGCAAACAATTTCTCGGATTTGTGTAAATCAATCTGCTATATTGTAGAAATAAATCTATGTTATAAATATAAAAGTAATCATAATAACGTCCTTAATATTGACAAATTGAAGTTCAAACCTTGCCCGATTGCATATAAAGCTACAATTGTAAGCATAGCCATGACCTAACAGTGGGAGTTTATCGGTAACCATTTCCTACATCCTGGTTTCCTTCCGTTCCGCTTATTATTATGAATCCAGTCCAGTACTCTTCCATGGAAACCGAACGAGCCTCTAAACATTTCAACACTACTACAAATCGATTTAACTATTTGTTATCGATTGAAATTACTACTGAACATAAAGGGAAACTCAATTTCAAATCAATTAGAAGATTTTTTTCGAAGGATCTGATCTTGTAACACTGCTATAAGCATAAAGGTAATGTTGAAAGGGCAAGGTATCGGATTTCACATAATCCGACTTGGACTTGAGACAGATTATCTGGAAAACGTTATTATATCAGTCGTAAACCGCCGATAGAAAGAACTTCCTATTTACCACCTTGTTTGTGTAAATAGGGCAATTGGCCCTTCATCAGATTAGGAGATAAATATTAGAATTGAGCATCAATGTATATTTTTTACTCATATATTTTTTTATATAATTCGAGTAATAGGACGTCCTTACCAACTACTGCACTAGGGTTTAGAGAAAAGGGTGGGTGGCTTGCAACAGACTTGATTTATCGGTTTTGATCTTAATTCAGTCAATAAAATGAGTAAATGTTATAATGTGTTGATTTTTATTTCGAAACTGAAATATGATAATTATTTTATTGGAGAGACACTTGGGATAAAAGAAATGGCGGCTAAATAAAACCTACAAACCCCTGACTAATAGTGTTCCCGAAATGCGAGACCGAGACGAGTCTTGGTCTTGCAAACTCAGTCTTGGTCATGGTCTTGGTCTTGCGCAAGAGTCTCGCAACAGTCTTGGAGTTACTTATTACTACTATAGAAATATTACTGTAATTTTTTTAGATAGGCGAAACCTAACTAAGTCCGAATGAAAAATTAGATGAGTTAAATGCAAAAGTATATTGATTATACCAATTATTAACATATAGTAACTAAGATTGTCAAGTATTAGTAACTATTTTGCCCTAATTTTTATTTTTAAAAATCGATTTTTTTTACCAGTCCTGGTCTTGCAACAATTACACGGCCTTGGTCTCGGTCTTGCAAAGTGCAAGAACAAGACCAATTTCGGGCAACACTACTTACTAATATGCTAGTTTCAGTTCCTTGATTGTACCAAAAATAGTTTAGGTTTTAATGTTAAAATTTGTTGCAGGGGTAGCGACTCAACTTGTTTGATAAGGTTATGGATTGACTGCCATTGTCTCAAGAGTTTTAGTAATAAAGGTTATTTTATTTATCACTGTTCAATAGGAGGTTGACATATGTAGGGCAAAGATAGACAAATACTACTTTTAGTACTGGATACCAAGTATTTTATTCAAATACTGATATTTTTTGAGTACCAAAGAATTTAATAACTACACCAATTGATGTCAAACTATTAACTGAAGTAGTGATTCAATTTGAGTAAAATACTTGGTACTGGGTATTCACAATCAGAGTAGCATTTGACCTTCCCTGATGTAAGGTCATCGCCAACATTAAAATTTCATGATTTTAAAAGCAGGGCACTTATAAAATAACATTAATTATTTGCGCACTTACGACTCTGAGAGATTTTAATACCATTTTTTTTTTTTTATAAATCCATACATAATTACTACAAATTTTGGTGAATTCATTTCTCGAACTTAAAGATACTAATCTGTGGATTATTAAGTTTTTTTTTTACCCAACTTTTATTTCTTGTTGTCTATAATTTAATTTACTGATCGGCGCTGATAGGATGCAGATGTGAAGCAAATAAAAATAAAAAGGATCCTCTGAAAGTTGAATATATTATTAGATTTAAGACCTTACATCCCACACGTTGACCGTGATACCAGCTGTGGGATGGGATGCTGCCCACTGGTCTAAGATTTAAAACCACTGCAGGTAAAATACTAATGGGAATACATTTTTAAATAAATAATTATACATATTTTTTTAAACTACGACTATTATTTAAAAAAAAATATAACAATTAAATTAGATATAGTTGATTTTAAATAGGTTCCATTTTCCTTTGAGTCTACATTGATTTGATCTGTCGCTGTTTACGATTTCTATTAACTAAAGTACATTAATTATATTTATGGCTCCAATTATCTTTATGATACTAAAAATACTAGTAAAGTTTTAATTCCACGTTCCTCGAAAAAATAAATTTTTGTATGTATTTGGAATTTATTTGCTAATTATATCTAACAATCCTATATATTATTTCTAAAAGGTCTTTTTTTTTTGTCAGTACGCCATTACTTCGTCAATTCTTCATCAAATCTAATGAATGACTACTCATTTTGAAGAGATTCTTCTCCTTCACATGCGAAAAATAGTCCTTTCAACCCGAAATTTCTTAGAAAAAAAGTTATGAAGGAAAAGAAACTTTATTTGCGAATAACTCAAAAAGTGTGTATTTGTTTTCTGGATTGTACCCATGATAATTAGAAAGATTACTAAATTACCTACAAAACAAAAAAAAAACAACGAAAAAATCGTTTAGAAATATGTATAATTTAAACAAGAGAAGAATAGTTGGGTTGGTCAGTCAAAAAGGAAGGCAAAACTAAATGATGATATTTATTTTTTACATATGCCGACGTTTCGACCTGAAGTTCAAGCCTTCATCAGGGCTAAGAAAATAACCAGATAACAAGGTATGAGAAACATAAGTAATGATGGTAAAAAAGATAATAAAAAATAAAAAAATTAGAAAAATAAAATAGATAAATATAAAGTAAAATGAAATTGTTAGAATAATGACTAAGAACTAAAAGATAAATAATAAAAACCGTTACAAAGTGTGGAATGATGAAGTAGGCATAATCAAAAAGGGTGACAAAAGTGTTACAATGGGAATCTTAGAATAAAATGTAAAACATAAAAAAGAAATATGAAGTTATATAAGTAATGAAAATAAATAGTAAAATTAAAACATTGAGAATGGAGTAGTTAGATAGAAAATTGAGATATTGTAAAGTCTATTAAGATGTACAGACATGTCTTGATAGAGGTTATTTTCTTAGCCCTGATGAAGGCCTGAACTTCAGGTCGAAACGTCGGCATATCTAAAAAATAAATATCATCATTTATTTTTGCCTTCCTTTTTGACTGACCACCCCAACTATTCTTCTCTTCATTATCCACGACAGTCAACCAATTACCAATTATAATTTAAACAATTTGTATTGACGGAAGGAGTAAAGTGTGTTGAAATATTTTTTAAATAGAAAAAGAATTTGTATTTCGCAGCTCGAAAGACCTTCGAACACGAATTTTCATGGAGATCATAAAATAAAAAAAATGTCTACAAATTTGACCTAAGCCAGTGTGTCTCCCCCCGTGTAGTCTTATAAACTACACGATATGACATAAACTGTACTTCCCTAAATAACTTAGAACTCATGTTATAAAAGAAAAACCTGTTAGGAGTTTTTATTTATTTACTCTCTACAGACGTATTATTATTTCTTAAAGACATTTGTTTGATCTTAGATTAAATTTTTTTTTAATAATTTAGAAAATCCCATGATCGGGGCATTATTTTGTCTTTATTACTTTCATTATCTTTCCAGTCAGCGTTTAAAAATAGGTCCTAGCAAAGCAATTTGTGCAAATATTTTTGTCTATTACGTTAAATGGATTATTGTAATCGACCAAGGAAAAAATATTAATTCCTTCCTTACATAATACACAGGATCTACTTATTTTCATATTGTTTTGCTATTTCTTCACTAAACAAAATCTTCTGCGAATTATTCGCACGGGCCAACTAGTCATGAATAAATGACATTCGACATAATAGGAAATTTAACCAAAGGGTACAGACAAACTATAAATGATAATACCATAGTACCCTTGGCGGATCTCTTAAGATTGCAAAAGAAATAACCACTAAAGGAATGGCATGACAGGTGCGACTAGGAGTCACAAATAAAAGGTAGAGACTATTATCGGGTTCAAGCAATTGTTAGTCTTGTCCTTTGATTTGCTCAGAATCAGCGATTGGAGCTAGAAAATATGGTACACATAATAATACTGCGAACTAATCACAGACGGAGGAAGAAAATTCGCAATGTTATGAAAATTAATATGGACGGTAACCGTGAAATTTGTAAAGCACCAGAAGATCCAAGACACTTGCTGTTCAGATGTAGAAAAAACAAAACAAAGAAAGAGGATTCGAACCAGAAGATGACGTTACACTACTTAAATTAAATTAAGTTAAATTAAATAACTTAAATTAAGAGAAAATTAAGATGATTACATTCTTTAAAAAAAACCTTATATACGAATTTGGGAAGTGAGAAAAGAAAGAATTGGAAGAAATCACTTATTTGTGCCCACACACATTTCTTAAAATATATATTTACCAAACAGGATTTGATACCCAATCTCGAATATTAATAAAAAATAAATAAATAAATGGGAAACATTTTAAAAATATTGGATGCTTGTAATCCTTATTAATAACTCAATGATTCATTCTGAAGTGTTTTATTTTAAAATGTCGTTAGCAAATGTCTCGAACCATGTAATGGATAAATACAAAAGAAACAGGAAAAAATGTCATTTAATTAAGTTCTTATTTTTTTTTTCAAAATAAAATATGCTTACCATTGATATACACACGATTAGAAAAAGTTGAAAATTGTTTTCTGTGCACAGGGTTTACTTAAAAAAAATAAATAAACAACACTAAATCAAAACGTTTTGGACTTTAAATTTTACAGATAATGAATGGATTAATTATTATTTGATCTGATGTGTAGGTAGCTATTTCGTTGTTTTATAAAGTCGAAGTTTTGACATACAAATGTGGTTTCCCAGATAAGAGAAAAATATGTCAATGAAGTAATTTATTTTTTATTTTTTTAACTTATTTATTGAAAAATATTACAATCTGCCTCAAGGACAATTATAATAGTGTTCATAGATCACATTCACACGCTATGTACAATAAATACAATAAATGATTACAGGAAAATAACATATATACAATAAATAGGAATAAAATAACCTGAAAATAAATAAATAAAAAGAACACATACATACCTTTATACAATATTTACAATCCACAGTTGGAGGGACAAGTCTGGTTTGGAGTTCTCTCGCCAGATCGTAAATATTGTATACAGGTATGTTTGTGTTCTTTTTATTTATTTACTTTTAGGTTATTTTATTCTTATTAATTTATTGTAATTATATCATTTTTAAAAGCATACTCTAATTCTGTCTGTAATTCTTCTTCCACTTTTTTTTTTTTATTTATTATGAAATCATTTCTTTGTGAACGATTTTGGTAATCATAAAATATATTTTTTTTTTCTTTTTTGTGATACATTGACTGATTCTCTGACTAATAATATTTAACTATAACTATATTAAATACGTAAAATTATTTAAAAAACAAAAAAGTTACCAAAGTCTTGGAAGCGACGACATCCCTGTACAGCCTCCTTCCTTCGTGGCAGTTCTGGCCCTGCTCTAGCAGCTGTTGGACGTCTGTCTAAAAGAATGCAACTGCCAAGTTACTCTAGAAACTCTTCAATATTACTTATATTTTAAAATACCACCTTAAATATTTATAAACTAAAAATATTTTAAAAATCTGACGCGGTGCATCACACAACTTTCACTTACCACCCCCTTCTTAGCAGAAATAAGTATTTTCAGACAAAGGGGAAGAGAAATTAAAAATTGTCGGCGCTATATTTATTTACATTTCATTTTTTCATTAGTGGGTATTTTTATTTCTATAAGTACTCTAATATATACAAATTTTAATAATTATATCGCTTTAATCTATACAATTAAATATTAAATAATACCAAAGATAGCATTTATGAAAACCACATATTTATATTTATGTAATATTGTCGGAGTCGGTATTATATTAAGCTCATGTTACGTATGCCTGTTCTGATCTTTCGGGAGAGCTCGGATGCACTCGTATTCCTTTGGTTCCCCAATTACAACTATTCTCCGTTACGATCTTTTATTTCTCCTTTAGTTAATTATCAAATTCTTTCATATTGTATATTTATCTATCTTTTATATTAGAGAATAATGTGAAATGGTCAATTGTTTCAAATAAAAAAAATTAAAGGTACTTTAGAGGAAACTAATATTGAAAATTAGCCATGTAAGCCCTGTTAGAGATCATCAATCAGAATAATAACCAAATTTTATTTAAAACAGCTTAATTTTACACTGTTATGATGAATATAATCAAAATCGTTAAAACATTTTTCGAGATAATCGTAAAAATGTGTTTAGTCCATTATGTAAAGTGCCACTTCTGGTTAGCCGATTTTGACGAAAAAGTTGCTGTAACATGCATAGCTTATAAAAATCTTAAGTATTCAATTTCACTTCCGTACGACTTTACTTTTTTGAGCTAGACTGTTAACACACACCGAACATACACAGACGATTTTGCGGGACTTGGAAAAGGATAACCAAACTGATATTATGTGTTTAAGGTATGCCTGAGATGAAACAGCACATTTCTTCTCAGAATATTGAATAATCGGAAGTATCACTTTTTATCATTGATTTTACACGGCTCCAACGATATATCAATGTATAATTAAATGGTCTTTAACATCAGCCAAGTCTTATCCTCATTGACGTCGCTGAACAGTGATTAAACTCACAATTTTCAGAATTTCTTCCTCTACAGTACCTTTAATGTTGTTTATTTTAAATAATTTATTGTTTCTCATTTTTAACAGTAATAAAAAAAAGCTCCGTATAAACTATGAAAGAATTTGTTAATCGCCTAAAGGAGAAAAAAGGGAAACTGTTTTTTTTTATGTTTGAAATGAATTTTCGGAAATAATAGTGACAATGTATATGTATAATAGATCTTTGAAAAACAGAGTTTTATAAAAAAAAAAAAAAAAATATATCAAACATACATAGTTGTAGAAAAAAAGTGAGAGTAACGAAAAAAAAATGTATATAATAATTGCTGAAAATTTACATAATTTAACAGAAATAAAACATTTCTATAGATACTAAATGTAATTTCCGAACGAAACGTAAAGATTTTATAAGTTTGAAATAAAAGTATACATATTTCACCGAATCGAGATAACGGAATAGTATATTTGACTATCGTGTAGTAGTCCGAAAGAAGAACTGAACATAAAAATTATTCGTGGTTGCGCAAAACAGATTTACATCTTTAAACACATTTCGTTAATGTTAGTGCAAAAGGTCGAATGTAAAAATTTAGTTGTTTTTTTTTTCCAGAGGAGCACATAAAAATCCACTATTTCTTTATGATTTATTGGCTAATTTCATATTTTATTTCCTTCTGCTATTTCCCTATTAAGCAGACTACTTATAGCAGTCGCAGTCTACAAAATGTCACCTTTAGCGAAAAAAGCATGTAAAATTGTTTTACCTTTTGCAATAATATATTTCAATGATTAGGTATATGTCTATAAGGCAAAAAATTAGTTTAAATACATGTAAAAAGTTATAGAAATTTAATTCGTATAATTTTTATTATGTAGTAAAATTCGTATTTATTCATACCATAACTATATGTCCTTTCAAATTTGTGTTGGTATATCAATAAATAGGGATTGTCTTATTCTGAGAGTCTTAGTGAGTTTTTGGATAGATAAATATGACCGAAATTCACAAATGTGTTCTTCCAGATTTATATCCATTAAAAACCCACTTCAAAAAAAACTTTTTGTAATTGACTAAAGTTGCGGCAAGATTTTTTTTTCATCATTGTTAACTCTCATCCTTAATTAAAAATACAAATTACTGGCAATTATGCAAAATAAAGGCGTGTTAGAATCTGTGGGAATATAAACAAAAGGGTATTAAGTTACTTGCTTTAATTTGAATAAGGAATGTAATTGAGAAGTAAACTAAATTGCATGTAATTATTTCAATTTTAGTTTTTCACTCCAGCTAATAGTAAATATTTATTTGATGATATAACATGATGGAGTACAGATATGGATCAACTGAGAAGATTTTATTTTTATCCACCTTTCAACAGTTAACCAATATATAACGGCACTTTACCAACTAATTTAAACGGGAATCACGGCAGATTAATAAGTGACATGGTCACTGCTGACATACCCCAGAACATCACTAAAAGACTAAAAAGACGTTGGATGAGAGATCTCCTTCCATAAACAATCCAAGTAATTGAAACAAGGCAGGAAAGAGGTGCTGCTGCGTACTTTCCTTCTCATCATTTAAATCTTGTATTTCCAATACATTTGCTAATAGTCAACAAAAGTTGACATTTGCAAGTAAATATTTTATAGCCAAAAAAAATCTAATATATTTTTTCCTGTTATATAAAGAAACATAGAAATGGACCAATAACGAAAAATACGAATGTAAGGTTTTTTGTGTAAGTCTCAGAATTTACACATTAAATTATAATTTCATTAAATTTTGTAGGGTTGAAGATAAGATAGTAAAATGATATTTATATATACATATGACTGAATAATCAACAATCATCGCCCGTCCTATGTATACAATCTCCTCAAATTTAAATCATCTATTCACTCCCTCTCCACAAGATCTCGTCCTTCTGACTTTTACACCCCTTTCCATAGATCTGCTTCATTTCAACATTAATTCATTTTCCGCTCCTCCACTTTTTGGAATTCCATCCCACTTAAAATCCGCCATGCATCATCCTTATCCACATTCAGAACCCTCTTATTCCAATTCCTCTTCACAATCCAATCAGATGCTGGTTAATTATGTATTATGTAACAAGGATAATTGCTTTTTTTTTCTTTTCTTTTCGTACACCATTTTTTTATTAAATTTTTGTTTATTATTGTCACAATAGCTTTCTCATAAAATTAATTTAGTGCCCCTTCCTAATCGTATATACTTATTTATTCTTATTTTATATCTCGTATGCCGGGATAATGCAATATCGTGATCCCTTTGCTCATCCTGTCATTAATATATCTTTAATCTATGTATATATTTTGTATGTTTTAGCTGTTTGGGGTTTTAACATAACAAGTAAATACTTTTTATTTACGTACTCTTGATATTTTTTATTTTCTGTTGATTTTGCTTTTTCTTTCTGTACAGGTAATGCTTTTTTCTATTCTTCCTTTTCTTTTTGTTATTTTTTCCAGTACAATTATAAGTATAGTTGAAAAGATTTTATATTATTTTTAATTGTTTACATAGTATTATTTAAGTTGTTTTATATATTGTTTGAATCTTTATTAGGTTAGTTTTTGGACAGATATGTATTTCTTCCTTTGTAACTGTTCATTATTGTTATTCTAAGGAGACATCGTCCCAGAATAAAGTTTATTTTCTATTCTATTCTATTCTATTTATGCATATATATTCCTTACGAAAGTCTAATGCTCAACAACTTCTTGACTTTTTCGAGGAACGAATAGGGAAAGAATTGGATAGTAAAACGAAGATAAAAACAACGTGAGGCAAACATTTTGTATTTTCAAAATCAGCTATTAATGAACATGAATATCTCGGAAACAAACGAAGTAGCGCAAAAAATAATAATATCAAGATTGTTCCAAATTTTATCAACTTTAATTTGTAATTAATGTCTTCATCACTGCGATGGGTAGTTCCTCTGATATAAGAGTTAAACCGAAAAGCAGTTATCTTCTTGGTGCCCCCACATCCGGGTCACCTCCTAGGTGTGGTGACTTTTAGTATGTTTACCTCCTAACTAGTTCAAACAAAGTCCCAATGTCATAAATTGTGTACCTTCCATTTACTTCTTTCCACACCACCCCTTAACCACCCCTCTTTATGAGCACTCTTTGATTGGACAATCTACTGAACACCTCTGAGTGTGTTTACTGTACCTGATATTCTAAATATGATTGTACAATATAATATAATGGCTGACGACATGATCTACCTGAATAGGCTGCGGTTCCTGATTGGATCGACCGATGATCCTCCTCGCCACTTCTTCGAACCTGCTGGCCAGGGCCGCCATCGTCGAGAACTCGGCCGCCCGCTGGGGGTAGACGCTCTGCAGCCAGGCCCGCAGTTCGGGGATCTCAACTCCTCTCCTCTCTGCAATATATTAATTAAAATTAATGTATTCACATAGATTTAGAAACATCCCGACTAAGGATCTTACACACCGGCGCACCATAGTACCGCTCCATGCATTTTACCTTGTACAATACTAAAAAAAAAAAAAAATTAACTTAAAGTTTCCTATGGGACTGTTCTGAAAGCTAAGCGAATAGGTTATTTCTTAATCAATTCTAAAATTTCCTATTTTAATGGGATTATTTATTACTCAATGGATATTGGAATTTCGTTCTTCCATTACAAAAGTAGGTTGGGCCTACGACCGCCGAGGTCTTACTGTAATTATAACGTTCTTTGAACTCTCTGCTGAAGATGTATACAAAAATCACATACGGTAACCGGCGATTTTAGTAATTATCTGGAAAAGTTAGTCAAGAAAGCGTACAGCTTCTTGAAATGAGATAATACAAAAAGATTTATATTAATCTAGTCGTTGCGAGGCTTGGATACGTGAGGGTTTGGAAGACGAATTCCAAGTTCTTGCTTGATGCAAGGGTAACGATTGATGGTCGATACTAGATGCGACGCATAACGGTCTGAATTTTAACTTTGGCAAGATATCTGAAAAATGGAATGTTACATTGCATGTCAGGTCTTCTCAATTAATGTAGACTGAAACTATTTTGGTAAGGAAAACCGTTATTATTGCAGTACAGAAAGATTTATTAATCTTATCTATATATCAATAGATTTATACCTAATATAATTCATTCCTTTTCGTAATATAAAACTACAGAAAGAGTGCGAAGGAATAGATTTAGGAGAAATTCAAACAGAGTTTGTGACTCGAAATTGATACTGTGGTATTGTTTCATCTCGCTACCATGTATTTTGTTTTATCTTCATTAACTTCTGGGCTAATTTACTCAGCTTTTCTTATAACAGTTTTTTCTCAGGTTTATCAATGTCCTCCTGATAATAATATAGGTAATAAATATCTATAATTGATTCGGTAAATAACAAAATATATTTTCATTTGTATATTGTAAACAAATTAAAAACAATAATAACGGTTTTCTTATGGTTTTAGTCTATATTAATTCAGAAGGCCTGAAATGCTATGTAACATTCCATTTTTCAGATATCTTGCCAAAATTAAAAGTTTCTCAGAGTTTTTGCCGATTTTTTTTTTACCTTTTCCGACCATTATGGGGCGCATCTAGTATCGACCATCAACTCTTATCCTTGCATCAAACAAGAACTTGCAATTCGTCTTCCAAACCCTCACGAATCCAGGCCTCACAACGACGATATTGATATAAATCTTTTTATATTATCTCATTTTCACAACAACCAATCATAATTGAATTTACAGTTAATTTATATTAATATCATTTACTGTGTTTATTACAAAATTTACAACTCTATGAGATGAAAGGATATGTTTGGCAATGTACGTTAAATATGTAAGTTCAATTGGTATATAAATGAGACATTAGGCGATTCATTAATTATACCTGATAAAATATTATAACGTACTCACGAATAAACGCATGCAATATAACAATCAAAAATATGGAGTTCACGTTATGATGACAATTTTTAATTCAGTTATCCTTCTCTACTATGGGATTATAATTTAGGGTCACAGGAAGATGGGATTTTGCGTGGATTTAATTCTATTAAATTTTGCAGTCAACAACAGTAGTCCATCCCTCAAGTTGCTATGTAAAACATCAAGGTCGGTAGGTAAATGAAATAATATATTCATGTATAATCCAATATTAATCTACATTTAGTAGGCTCAGCGTTCTAGAACTTTTTTTCCGTTTGACTATATAAACTTAGGCATTATATAATTAGCAGATTATAGACGCTAGAGGTGTTTAATATTATCTGCTCTCTGAAATCTTTATTACATATCGTACAGCGAATCGGATACTCCAGCTCTTATGACTCCATTTAAATATACAGATCCTCCACAGCGATGGTTATACTGAGGAGAGTATTCACCAGTAATTAGGTTAGCAGTGGGTCTTTAAGTGTAAAATGGAGTCCATTACTGTACTCATATACATAATGCAAAGAGATGAAATAAAAAACCCACATTTGAATTTTATTTTATTTTTATTTTTTATTTATTTATTTATTAATTTATATGATATTTACAACTGTATGCAAAAAATACATCTGGTAAATTCGCACATGGATATAATGACATGGAACACATGTTGAGAAACTACCCATTGGTAGCACTCTAATAATATGTCTATATTAGAAGATCACGTGGCCATCTTCTTTTCAGACGCCTCGGAGGTTTATCAGGAATCGAATAGGAAGCAAGGTTAGACACAAGAGGGTTGGGATGGTTGTGAAGTTTATTATGGAAGGACAGATATCTGGATTGGACCAAATCTGATACATAAGGAACATTAAGGGGGCGGGGTGGCCGAATAGGCTAAAGCGTGTGTAACAGCACCGCTAGTTGCCTGGCAACCGGATAACAGAGATTTGAGATGACATAAAGGAGCATTGAGGATTTTACGAAGGATTTTGGATTGTAAGGATTGTATGCGAGAGGAATTTGAAGGTTTGGTGGAGCTCCATAACTCAACTCCGTAAGTCCAAATAGGCCTTATTATGTAAATGAGTCTTTTATAATTGATTGGAAGGTTGGAACGTTTGTCTAGTAAGTGTTGAAGTAGTCGGAAACGTCGAGCTGTTTCTTGTCGTTTCAGTCTGGTATGAGAATTCCTAGTTAGACGTTTGTCCAGATGGAGTCTTAGGTAACATTTTTATTTTATTGTCAGGTTCTGAGAGTCAACTGAAAAAATATTATTCAAATACCCGCCCAATGAAATAATTAAAGTTTAAAGAAAAATAAAATAAAATGTTATTTTCTACATGGCCTTGGAATGGATGACAGTATAATGATGCCTTGAAAAAATATTTAGTGCAATTTTTTTAATAATTGTGACCTGTCACTCCTAGCATATAGGAATAAAAAGATGCAAATTTAACCAGGTTTCAGTATTCTGGCGTACGATCTGGTTCTACCACTTGTTTTGGCAAAAAAATCACGCTTGACAGACATGCCCCCTGTTGCATTGCAATTATGTTGTCGTTGCAATACTAAACCATGGAACATGGGAACGTTTTGCGGGCAAGTTTCCAGAGCAATGCCATGGTAATTTTCATAATTCCAGGTCGGTTAATAGTAATAATTATGTTTATCCATCGGTATTAATTTTTTTTTTAAATTTATATCTGAATCCAGGAGAACAAAAATTTTAAGCAAACCAAAAACTACAATCAGTATATCATTAAAATATTATAATAAAACCTTAATGCTCTCAATCAGTTGTTCATTTATTTCATTTTCTTCTTCTCTTTTCAGCCATTTCAGCATCGTTGTAACTGGGGCGGATCCGTAAATTGTCTTTTGGGCGCCGCAAAAAGACAATCTTAATGCTTTTCAGCTATTGGCAATAAAGAAAAGAATCCTAATGTTTTATGCGGAATCCAAACCATAGAAACCCGAGAAAAAAATTGGATTCAAGTGGGATTAATACATGAAGATTTTAGGCTGTAATTTTAGAATAGTAAAAATACTAAAACATGCATGAAGTATATTATTCAAAATCTACAAAAACTAAAAAGAACGAGAAAAATTTATAATGAATTGTGTAAAATCTTGATTTAATCTGTCTGTTAGCTCATATTATTACTATTAAACTAAATTAATATTAAATTCTAAATAAAATATAAAGATGTTAATAACTAATTTAGTAATTTAAATTAAGTATTTACAAATTAATTAATTAGTTATTTATGATTTAATTCACTAATGAATCCAATCCAATGATTAGGCCATCGTTTCTAAGAATGATTAGGCCATGATTAATGGCCGATGATTAGGCCATCATTTTATCTTCTCTTTAAGGAGAGAAAAATAAAAACATTCCGCAGAAAAGTCAGTAAAAAAATGTTATGAAAACAAGAGAACTTTATTTGTGGATAATTCAAAAAGTTTTAAGCTGCAGTAGATTTTGTTTGAAAGGTTCTTAAATTCATTAAAAAACGAGAAAAAGAAATCAATCGAAAAAAGAAATTGGACCGTTATTTACAAATGTTATGGTAAAGGTGCCGTTATGGTCTACATCTTATTATAATCTGTACACATATTTTGGTTAATTATTTTTAATTGAACAATTGTAATTGACTGAGGTTTAAAAAAATTAATTTATCTCTCTCTCTTAATACATTTCATATGATTATTTTCTTCTTAGATTGTCAGTTGTTCACTTATCAATAGACTATAACGACTTATTCAAACGGGCGAACTAGAAACTATTTATTTCGGTGTAAGAGGAATATTGTTCTGTTTAGGATAAAACTGTTAGGAACATAACGAAAAATTATTTCAAAAATTTTCTTTTATTTTGGGAAAGGAGCTAGGGAAGCCTAGATCCGCCATTGCATTGTAAAACTACGGTGCATTTATTGTGTGTATGTCGCTCATTTTGCGGATGAATATTTTAAAAGTAAAAACTACTTTAGACGCGTTTTGCACTTTTTTTGTGGAGAGTGAATTAGATTGATCCTTCAGATTTATTAACGCTCGGGTCAAGTTGACTGGAGTCGATTAATTGAAGTGTATTTGCATATGGATTAAAATATCTCAAAAACTAAAAATCGGACCTACATATTGTAAGCGAGAGTGTTTATCGTTTCATTCTCTCTGTAATAGGATATTATTCAAAATTATGTCTTAACGCGACGCCATGTTAGGAAAGGAAAAAGTGGTGTCGAAAACCAAACGATAACGTGTTTTATTGAAGACCTGCACTAAAATTTCTCAAAAATTAAAAACCGGATCGGCATATTGTAAGTGAGGGAAATGTTCAGTATTTCATTCCCTTTATTATGAGATACTAGTTGGAAAATTCGCAGAAAATTTTGTTTAGTGAAGAACTAGTAAAACAACATGGAAATAAGTAGTTCCTAGGTATTATGCAAGGAAGGAATTAATATTTTTTCCTTGGTCGATTACAATATTCCTATAAACATAATAGACCAAAATATTTATACAAATTGCTTTGTTAGGACCTATTTTTAAAAGCTGGCTATTACTTTTATTATCTTGGGAAAGATAATAAAAGTATTAAAGACTAAATAATACCCACTTTTAGGTGGTATGAAATATATTTAATATGAAATATATTAATGATAATAATCATAGAATATTCTAAATAATAAAAAAAAAATAAAATGTTAGAACAACTAAATGTCTTTAAGAAATAATAAAGTTAATATAAAAGCCAGAAAAAAATAAAGTAGACTATTCTACTCCTGAATGCTATATCTTTAAACAGGAAGACATTATCAAGTATACCGAAACTAATGGACTGTATCTTTGTGAATATTTGTCCAAATTTTACGATTTGTTTTTGTTTTGTAGGTAATTTAGTAATCTTTCTAATTATCATGCGTACATTCAAGAAAAAAAAAGGCATACTTTTTGATTTATTCGCAAATAAAGTTTCTTTTCCTCCATAAATTTTTTCCAGGGATTTCAGGAGGATGGGGCTATTTATCGCATGTGAAGGAGAAGAATATCTTCAAAATGAATGGTCAATCATTGGATGTGATAAAGAATTGACGAAATTATGGCACACCGACAAAAATATACCTTTCAGAAATAATATATAGGATTATTTATAACTTATATTTCATATTATTAATCGCCTTGGATGATGTTTTCATTTCTATTGTGTGGTCTAAAGCACACACCTTAGTTTTTTTTTCCTATTTCCTTAAATTATTGATAATTTGGAAGAAAGAAGCGAAGGAGCTCATATCGAAAAATATTAATAAAAATTGTAGAATCGTAATGAGTGTATTTTTTTTTTTACTTTCCTACCTATACTAGGTAAGGAAAGTATTGCAATCGGGTCAAATTTCCCACATGCGGCTTTCGACGGATCTATTCAGATCCCCGTTTCATAGCCCCCTGAGTCCAAAGAATACTCCGTTTAGTCGTTTGAAAGGTAATGAAATTCCCTACAAAGCCATATAAAAATCCTTCATTTTGGACAACTATTGACGAAGTTACAGCTATTCATTTTCCAATGTAAGATTAAGGTTTCATATCATGGTGTCAGAAAGGGGTGAATGAGAGAATAAAGATGACTAAGTGAAAGTAAGAAAATCTGTTGCCCGCATCACACAATCTTCACTATTTCCTCTACTTTTAACAGAAATTATTGTTTGACAATATTAAGCTATGGCAAATAGTTTTTGATCATCAATATTAGGAAGTATTGAAATTTTATACACTGATCTACCTTAAGCCGGTTTACATTACTTTAGTTTATCAAATAAATCGTACTCAAATCTTACGTTTGATCAATTTTCAGGAAAATGTATCTAGTTCAATTATTTTTGTTTCTTCATGAGCATATGTAAAGATATAAAAACTTTTCTGAAATATTTTGGAAAGTTGTGTGAGTGGACACACCAGATATTTTTAATCTGTGATTGTTGATTATTGTTTTACCACAGCAATAAGGCTAAATAAAGACATTTCTACATTGGCACGTGGGTGACTGTTTTAATAATTTTGTTAAGTATGGAAATACTGAATTTATTAGATTTTTAATTATAATGAAACACTAGATTTCGTACTCTTTCTCTCCCCCTCCCAAAAAAACAAATTAAATTATTTATATCCATGCCGTGAATTTAATATTTCTCATTAAATTTGGTCGATTACTTTATGGATGTTATTTGAAAACCTTTTTGCTCATGCCTTTCGTGGCCGCTTAGTCAACTCACCAATTATCAGCCCCAGCAATGTGTCAGGTCTTGATCCCGGAATTAGCCGTTCTGAAAAACCATCGGAGTTGCTTGGAATTCAATAAGTGTCGACGAAATGGCGATCGATCAATTATTATATTCACATCGTTTGGTGACTAAACTCCGCCATGTAGAATGCACCGCTTCCCTTCCCGTTAATTATCTAATCGTTGTTATGTCACAGCTGTATTTCCTCTAATACCTCACAAACACTACGCAACGTTTTATCAATGAACCACGGCCGGCATTGTTCCACGAGGTATCATTGTTAACCAGAATCTGACTCACCCTCCTTGATTCAGTCCTGAATCACATGGTGACGCCACAGGGACAGGATACACCTCATCCAAAGGACATTCTGAAAATTTACAAAGGTTTGTTTACTATCTTACCTGTGAAATTTCCGGGGTCGGGTAAAAAGGGTCTTCGTATTTGACCTGGGTGTACAGGGTGCTCATTCCCTGAAAAGAAAAGGAGGTCAGGAACTCAAAACTTATTGTTCATTGTTCATATTCATATCCCTATCTAAAAAAATAAAAACAAAATGAGATATAACAAGAAAGTACTTTAATTATAAAATTCTTGAAGGAAGTCGACTGTTCTACATATCATGGGTGATAAATATTCAGGACGCAGTCTTTTTTGATTTTTGTCAACGTTTCAACCCAAACATGTGGGTCTTCTTCAGTGCTCAAACCACGCCCTGAAGATGACCCACATGTTTGGGTTGAAACGTTGGCAAAAATAAAAAAAATTAAAAAAGACTGCGTCCTGAATATTTATCACCCATAATTATAAAATTATTAGAATTTGTATTTTAGAGCTGTGATGTAGAGTTGACGGTTGGAATTGTAAGTATGAAAACCAAATTGTCAGGATTTGCCGTAAATAATTTCTTTGATGAGTTATCCGACGTTTCGACCCAAACATGTAAGCCATCAACAGGGCAAAAAATATGTAAAATAGCATCTGAGAAGTGATGAATTATTACTAAAAAATAAAATTAATATTATAATATAAAATCAATACTTTTATGCTTCCATATTTATCACTTTACTGATGTTATTTTATTTTTTAATTTTTAGGCCGGATGATGACTCATATGTTTGGGTCGAAACGTTGGTTAACTGATTAATTAAATTTTTGATTGCTAATCCTGACAGTTTTTCTCATCCTTTTAAAATCCTATTGAAAGAAAAAAAAATCTATAGATGCCTGAAATTCTTCTTATTTTTAAATAAAAATCCATATAGTTCAAATATGTTTAGTAATTTGACGGTTTTTTTCTGCTTCCAGTACAATATAAAAAACTTTTTAAAATCTACAATGTATAAAATAATATAGTATAATCCATAATCCTTTTTTTTTGGCTCAGGAACGATATAGATTTGATGAATAGTAGTGCTGCCCAAATGCAAGACTAAGACGAGTGTTGGTCTTGCGCAAGAGTCTCTCAACAATCTTGCAGTTACTTATTAGCTTAATACAGAGAAGATATTATTGTAATTTATTTAGATAGGAGAAGCCTAACTAAGCCCGAATGAAAAATTAGAGGAGTTAAATGCAAAAGTATATTGGTTGTACCAATTATTAACATACTGTAAGTAAGATTGTCAAGTATTAGTAACTATTTTGCGTTAATTTTTATTTAAAAAATCGATTTTTTTTTTACCAGTCCTGGTTTTGGTCTTGCAGCAGTTAGGTGGCCTTGGTCTTGGTCTTGCAAAGTGTAAGACCAAGACCGATTTTGGGCAATACTAATGAATAGGGCATCAAATGAAAGGGAATTTCTTGGAGAAATACAAATTTCAATTTTAAAACTTGGAATGTTACTACATCTACAATAAAAGTCATTGAAAAAATTGGGAGGTTTCCAAGTCAAATAATTAAAAAAATTGACTAATTATTATTAAATGTTTTGACTCGGGCGCCTGTTGTAAAACCTCATTATGTAGTTTTCGAATAGACTTCTATACTCCAAAACAGGAGGAATATAATAAGGAATAAGTTGTGCTAACTAATCACTAATTAACTAACTTTGATTTTGACTATTTTATAATATTATTTGATATTGGAATAAATATGATTTGCTAATGAACTAGAGAGAAGCATACAAAGCTATCCAAAGTGATGGTTCTCGCTATGGTGTACTAAATATAGTACTCGCTGTCCTACAAAAAAGTGGAGTATTCAAATGTGTATAAATGTATGAGGATATAAATGTATGGCAATATACTATGAAGATAAAAAAAAAAAAAACATTAGAATATTATTATGATATTTAAAAAATTACCTAACCTAAATTACATAAAATGATATATGAATTGATATTTTCAGGAGAGTGTGTGTGAAGACATCATGTAGTGTAGCTTACATTACTCATAACGTTCCTCCTCAGGCCGGATACGAGTGATTCAGTTCATTCAACTTAATCTTGCGTTCTTAAGCGGTATATAGATTAGACTAAAATGTGAATGGTTATGGTGATGATAATTTACAAAACTGTTTTTAGCTCCTCTAACAATGCTTGATTGCAAATGCAATCGTATCAAATATGCAATATGTATGGAAATCAGTAAAACAGTTATTATATATTCATAAGAATTGGGCACTGTTTAAAACTAAAATTAAGCAATTGTCTTTACTTCAAAATCACGATCTCCAGCCTTAGACATCCTGTATAATAACATGCACACAGAATCCTATAGGATTTGGTGATACGATATTGTCCTCCGAGGCGATACGGCGACATAGTTGTGTTAATCTCTATTTCACTATCACAGTCATACAAATTGCTATAATCCGCAACGATACAGACAAAGGATGACATACATCGTTCTATTTGCACGTACATTAAGATGCCAATTCTATTTCAGTTATCTAAGGCAACCATCGAGGTCCAAAAAAATTTGGCTTGTTTTGAGAAATTTTCCTTGTTTAGAAATAGAAATAGAAGTAGAAATAGAAAATAACTTTATTCTGGGACAAAGTCCCTTTAGAATAACAAAATAGAACATTTAAAGTACCTGGCCAAAATAAAACAATAATAAAAAAGAGAAAGTAAAGAAAATATTAGTTAAACAAGCTATATACAAAAAAAAAAAAAATCTATATACAACACTTAAAACTATGATAAAACACTTAAGACTATGTACAGTAGGAAAAATTATAACTTTACTCTTTTAAAAAATAAAATAATAAAAAATACATTGAGTTCTTCTTTAAAATGAGGTGTGTTTCTGCTAACAAAGAAAAAACAAAGCTGACAATATAAAATATCAGTGTCTTTAAATAATGATTAATATGTAGACTCATCATTGTCAAATGCTAGAGGTACAGATTTAATTATATACCAATAAAAAATAAAAATAAAAAAAGCAAACAATTGATGCGGTCAGTGGCATTAAGACCCGGAAAATATTGTAATATGCCTAGTGAAGTTCACAGTATAGAATAGCATTTGTTTGGTCTATGGAGGGCTATCTGCCAGGCTAGAAATGAGAATGAAGAAACTCATGAACTGTTTTATAAGATACATTTTCGGGATCCAACAGCGTTCGCATGTTTCATTCTGGTACACCGAGTTGAAGTAGCTTTATCCTACTGCCCGACGACAATTCCTCCTTGGTGTTTCCCTTTTCCAAGTTATCACAACCAAAAACCCTCCCTAAATCCTGGAACTCCTTACTCTACGCCCTCCTAATACACTCTGGTAATACTAGGTCTCAAGCTATAGATTTATATATCCCCTCCAATAAAACGGCTTTCTTCAGCAAATCCTTCGTCATTCGTGCTACCTCCTTTTGTAACTCTCTTCCTACCTCCAAACGTCAATCCTCGTCCACGAATTTCTTCAAACAACTCCTGTTCCACCATCTATTCCACATTCAAACTTCCGCTAATATGTAAAAGCAGTTGTATCTGTATACTGTATAATGTCTACTATTGCACAACTGCAATAACAATAAGCAGTTAATTAGTTTGTATTTTTTATTATTTTAAGGCAGACTAATACCCATAAATTTTTAATCCTGTTATTACTCTTAAGGGGCTGAAGACCCAGAATAAAAGTATTTTTTTATTTCATTTCATTCATTTCATTTCATTAATTTTCGTTTCATTGCCTTATAATCCAGTAAACCTACTCTTCAAAGCTGTTTAAAATATTGACTCTAAGACAGCACTCTTTGGAGTTTTGGAAATATATTTTTTTACAAATAATTTACATTTGTAAATTATTTATTCTTTTTATATTTTTAATTCTTATTAGTAACTATTCTAATAATAAAAGTTTGAATTTACATGTAACGATAAAGATTGTATTATCTTTATGAAATATAACACTTTATGAACTGTTGGTTAGTTCCTTTTGCTGGAGTACCCCTATTCAGGCACCCTTCGAAGCTTTGCATATCGTTGAAGAGCTAATTATAAACACCCTGGTCCCACAGACGGGATAAAAACGAAAAAGACGTTGCGGCCTTGGAAGGAAGAGATAATTCTTGGAGAGATTGACGGCACATCAGCGGTGATAGGTTCCAACCAGAGAGGCAACAAAACTTCCATCCAATGCACTTTTTTTTTCCTTTTTTTTCAATATCGCAATCTGCCACCTTTGTTCAATATAATGGTCTTCGGATATGATAATAGTATCTAAATATTTTAGATCCCCTAATTAATTTATTAGGATATCATATTCCATGGAATATATTATTCATGATGAGATTTACATCTCAACATCTCAGACTTTCTTGAAATTTAGTCTAGGTGTAACAGAGGTGCCCCTCCCCCCAAAGATTGATGGCGCAAGAACCTTTCCTCTCCCCATTACAGGATATTTTATTTCTCTCTTCTTCTTAATAACAGTGCAAACAAAAGTAAAATTTAAATGATCGTAGATCATATACAATTACTCTTGTTGCGATCTGTTCTCTGATTTCTCTTGTTCTAGTGCGGAACTTTCCATTCCGAAAATTCACGATCCTGCCAAAATGTGCATCCTCAAAAATTTAATACCTTATCAAAATATGCCCCCTTAAAAATTTTGATGCCACAACTTGCTTCACGAAACCACCTTCTGGGCATCTCTGATGTGTAACATTGTTGTAGACTTGAAAGAACCTAAAATATAACTTAAAAGGGGAAGTTACGGACTTAGGATCCCCGATTTTAATGAAACTTCTTTTTATTGTAAACGTTGTTTACAAACTTCGACAAGACTTCACCTATCCACACGCACATTAGCAGGGATTTAGAACCTTGTAAACTAAAAGAAATGGCGTAGACCAGACTCCTGTAAACAAATTAGAACTGATATACACATATTCAAAAATTTATTTTGCCTACTTTACTGGAAGTGTCTTTTTTTTATTTATTTGGATCTGTTTTATATAATAAGCTATTTTTTTTCTTACTTTGCACCAAAAAACAGACAAAAACCAATCGATATAAGAACCTTTCA